GAGGAACCAGATGAATTGCCTGTTGCCACTTTGCTCTCCTTCACCTCTAGTGGCCAGTGGCTAGGACCAGTATGCTAAATGGACCCAAGTAGCAGTGCAGAAAGAGAAGAAGAGAAGCCGATTAGGAGGTGACTCCTCCCTGCCAAAGTGTGCAAGGCCAGCTGCTTCATTCACAAAATTCACCCAGCATGGCTGAGTCCAGTACAAGGGGAGGGGAGTCTCTGACTTCAGGGATGGCAGCCGGGAGCTGGGTCAAGCACAGAACATGCGCAGGGTCTGCAACTTTAATACTCTAAGTGTGGTCTGGGCACCAGTAGCATCCCCTGGGCACTTATTACACCAGTTTCCAGAGTCGATTCTAACTCAGGGTGACCCTGTGTGTGTCAGAGTGGAACTGCGCTCCACAGGGTTGTCAAGGACTGATTTCCCAGAAGTGGACTGCCAGACCTTTCTTCTGAGGTGCATCTGACATGCTTCTGAGGTTAGCAGCCAAGACTGTTAACCATTTGTACCACGCAGGGACTCCAGACACTTATTAGAAACGCAGTCTCAGACCCAGCCCAGGCCTCGTGAATCAGAATCTGTACTTTAACCAGATTCCCAGGTGAGTCAGAAGACGTTCTAGCCTGAGAAGCAGAGCGTGATGACAAACACAGAGCTTCACAGGGGTCAGGGAGAGAACGGGTGTCCCAGAATAGCCAGGGATGAAGCTAGGCCTTCAAGCATAAGGGGGACAAGGGCAGATAGACAGGCAGACAGGCCAGTACTGTTAGAAGCTCTCTACGTGAGCTACCCAATACCCAAAAGCCTCGAAGCTCTCAGCAGCTAAGGCAGCAAATGGGGCAGGACCAGGCAAGAGGGAAGGCAGCCCACAATCACTGTGTAGCCTCCCAACCAGGGAACTGAAGAGCCTGGCACACAGGGTTCTGGGCCTCAATGCATCAGGAATCCTGGAGCATTCTGGACTTCCCAGCACACCCACTCCACCAATTTTGTCAGGTTGGCCACATCCTCATCATGGGAGAATACTGTTGTCCACTGTGTCAGCTGATGGTACCTCCCAGACTATTCACATTGGAATTCCCCTGTGTATCAAGGATACTTCCCCCCCTGGCCCCCCAGCCTGCAGTGCAGCTACAGGTTTCCACACTAACTGCAATGGCAGCAACCACCAGCCGAGGCAAGGGCCTGCAGTAGGGCTCATCCGTACCCAAGAAAAGCTCTCAGACCCAGAACCAGGCTACCTTCTTCTCTCCACCCCTCAATCTCCTGGGTTGATCTGCCAGAGATCTAAGGAATGGATCGGTGAGGGGTTCAGGACATATCACAACATGGTCTTCTGACAACTCCACAGTGACCCCAGTTGTACAGTTTGTGTCTCAAGTGATAGGCAACATGATCCCACCGTCTAGGGAGGAAAACGGGGCTCAGAGATGGCTCAGGACCCAAGCAGGGCTTTACAGCAGAAAGGACTGGGCGGTGATGTGAGGTGGCAATGGAAGGGACCAGGAGCCAAGAATCAACAGTAGGAAGGTGGGTTCAGTCAACCCTTGGGGCCTACCAGATCATTACCCTCCCTCTCCCCACCCCTGACCCCAAACAAAGAAACAAACAAGCCATCTGCGACTGAGTTGATCCCAACTCATGGTGGTCCGTCCCATGTATGCAGAGCAGAACCACAATTAGTAAGTAAGATTTCCATTGCTGTGATTTTTCGGAAGCAGATTGCCAGACCTTTCTTTCGCAGCACCTCTGGTTGAGTTTGAACTACCAACCTTTTGATTAGTAGTTGAACGCTGACTAGAGTGATTGACTGGGGAAGCTTTCAGAGCCCAGTTGCTTCTGATTCAAAGAAAGAACCTATTTCTGGCCCTCCCTCTCCACCCTCACAGTTCCAGGAGGCTCAGGTTAGGAGAGGGTGGGGACGAAGGAGGAGAAGATCTAAGCTCTGTCTGCCTGATTCTCACTGCCAGGGCACAGTGGCAGCTTCAGAACTGACATCCCACAAAGGAACTTTCCGGACAGGACATCTGTCCACCCACACAGCCCTAAGACACCTGTTCGCACACTAGACACACACACCCATCAGACTCGTCGAACAGGAAGCTTGAAAGTCTGCAGCAGTATCTCAGAAAACCAGATACACCTTTACTCAGGGGTTGCTAGTGTCCTTTCTTTCTCCTAGGAAGCAGACTGCCCAGATGTTATGTTCTATTTGTTGCAGGTTCCCACCACCTGGCCCTGCTTCCAGGACATGGATCATATAGAAGACAGGGCTCACTTAGGTCCCTAGAGCCCAGCCAGCCATGGGCAGAAGCCTAGGGAAGAAGATCGCAAAGAATTACTGGGACCTGGTCCCTTCCCTTAACAAACCACAAAATAAGTTTCAAAGGGCAGATGGAGACCTGGAAGGGAGAGAGAGCCAGACAAACCCTTGGAGTCTAGAGGAGCCATGGGACAGCCAGGGGATGGAATGGCATGGAGAAAGGAGATGTCAAGATGTCAAGGCAGCCAAGAAAGCTTATTTTTAGACATAGCCCAGGTCATCCTGGTCCCTCCAAGCCCAGTCCACTCTAGTCCTTGGGAAAGGCACACAGTTTCCATGCCCCAGGAACAGAGTTGCCGGAAGCAGCCCATGACAGCAAGGCCCTGAATGCCAAACCGCAAATTCAATCTATCATGGTTTGCTGGGGATCCTTTATTAAGCCAATTCTGTTGGATCAATGCTTCCTGCCTTTCAAAATGATGAATAAATCCTCAACTAGCCTGAGAAGAGCTTGCAGAAACTCCCAGGAAGCCTGTGGTGGGTAATGGGGGTGGGTTCCAAATAGAGGTCCAAGGGCCAGTGGCTTGGAGACAAACTCTCGGGACTGAGGTTTGGAGAGCTGAGGGTAGAGTGGGGTTAGGCTGAGATGAGCAGTAGTTTTCTAAGTAAGCTTAGCAGACTTAGCCTGCTCATTGCCTCAGTGACCTTCTGAAGATGAAACCAGGGTTTTGGGCCTAGAAGCAGGAGAAGCATGGCCACCTCCCTCCAAGGATTTCTTTCCTTACGCCGCCCCACGCAGCCCCAGACAGCTCATGGCTGTGCCCAGAGTCCGTGTGCTTCCAGCCACCAGTCCCTCTGGATAAAGGCACAAATCTAAGCTGAACTCACAGCCTATCACCTCCTGTTGCCCCGGTCAATCATGCCGCATCCTCCCTCCCCATCCCCTAGCCTGTCCCAAGAAGCCTGTGCTTAGTAGGAGATTCTGCAGCAAGGAGAATGCAGTCAGTCATGCTAGGAAAGGCATATGTGAGACCAAGAAGGAGGAGAGGTTCCCATTCATAAAATCCACCCAGTCCTAGCCTTTCACCATGCAACCGGAAGACAAGACCCAGGACTCAAGAAATGCTTGTGGTTGATGGATGCCTACATGTGCCTATGTATGCCTACGGTTGGCCCGGCTTGCAGGCTTCCCTGGACCCCAGGCAATGGAGTTAATGATGAGAAATCTAAACAGAAGCTTACTAACAACAAAGATTGAGCAAGGAAAGGGAGAACCCTCAACAATCTTAAGGTGGATGCTTGCCTACCACCACTACTAAGGAGTTGAGAGGTGGGTGTTGGGGAGGCACAGTTCCTGTGTACTTCTCATGAACTCAGGCTGGGGCCCTCAAGTCCCAGTGGTCAGCCAGGGGGGAGGCCACCATTTAGGAACCTGTCCCTGGGAACCTTGTTGGGGAAGTCACACAGTTGATATCTATGATGCTATCTGTTTGGCTTGCTCTCTGGCCTTCCATGCCCACTTGGAATCTGGGCATTAGGGTTAAGAAGACCAATCCTTCATTTAAAAAGAATTTTAAAAGGCCTATGTTCACCACCTATTTTAAGCCATCCGGTGCTGCCTGACTGGTCATTCCCAGCACAAGAAACCTCTTTCATTGGATGGACAATGAGTTTGCTGTCATTACAAACCCAGCTTCCCTGGAGTTTGCAAAGAGGGCTCTAGGTTGACAAAATGCTCATGAATATAGACAGGCAATTGGGGTAGGCAGGGAAGAGGGATAAACACAGGTCAGTACCCAAAGAGGAAGAGAGCAAGAATGAACTGGAATTAAACACAGCTCAAAAAGATGAACACTTTCTAAACCAGAGAGGCACTTGGGCTGCAGGACCCTGACTGGGATAAGGCATGCCTGACTCCAACTTCAGAGGCAACCACCAATTCCTCTTTTAGTATAGATACTCAAACAGGCCCCAAGTCCAGTGCTATCTGCAGTTAGGTGGTATCTGACTCAGGTGATGGGGGAGGGGGCATCACATCTTTTATCTGGAGATCTAGCAGCTACTGGAGCTGGGCCACTGGAATGGAGTAAGACTCCGGATAATACTGGGTCACAGGATGGCTGCCCATCAGTCAGGACACCAGGCATCTTCTCTTACCATGACCAGCAAGGTCAGTCTCAATGCCAGCTGTGAACCAGGTTCAAAGGGGGTGCAGAGGACTCTCATCCTGAACCTGAGGTTCCGTGACCCCCAGTTCTCCAGGGCCCAGTTCTCCCTCTGGCTGCAGCTTCCCAGGTCACCAAAAGGCAGATCCCTGGGGCCATCGCCAAAGGAGCCGGCCCAGCATCTAAGAGGTCTGTCTCCTTTTGTGGTTATTCTCTGCAGGATGGCCACCCTGACTCTGCAGCCTTGGTGGGGGAGGTGGGATGCGTGGCTTAAGGTGGCAGAGTGTTATTCTGCCGGAGGTCTGGGCTAGGCCAGGCTCAGAGCACCTTTTCAGGCTGTCTCTAATGCGGCCCTATGAGCTGAGAGGATGGGAGCTAGAAAAGAGGAAAGTTCCCAGAGAGAGACATGTAAGAGGAGGTCTGCCGGTGTCTCAGATCCTAGAGGCTCCCTACTCTCTCTTGGAGCTCTGAGCGCGAGGGAGGAAAGTTAACTCCGGCAGGGAGGCAGAACCGGGAGAAGCAAGTCTGAGACCGCTTAGGCACCCACAGGATCACTTCTGGCCTCTTACCTGAAGTCGCTGTAGGGGTGGATAATCCAAAATCCTGCTGATTTAACCCTCTCCTGCTCCCGCTCCACGGCTTTCTGGCTGCCAAACATCCTCAAAGAGAATTTGTTGACTCCTGGCTGAAGCATGGCCCCAAACTGGCGCTGCATAAAGCCGGCTTGGCCCAGGCGGACCTCTGCCTCGGGGAGGATCTGGTCGCCCGCAGCCGCGCCTCCTTCCACTTTGATAGCTGTGTCCGCTGAGGGCTGCTCGCAGGTGGCGGAGGCCGGCTGCGGCGATGGCTGGGGCGGCGGCGGCGAGGCTGCGGGCTGCGCTGAGGCTCCAGGGCGCTCGGGTTCAGCTGCCAGGCCCGGGGGCGTCCTGTCCTCGCCGGGGGACGCATCGCCTTCGGCTATGAGCCGCCGCTCCTCCGCGGAGTCACGCCGGTGCCCGTGGCCGCTGCCGCCTCCCGCTCCAGTGCTGCCGCCGCCCCGGCTACCCAGCGAGGCCAGGCTCCCGCGGAAGCGCCTGCAGTCTCCGTTCGTGCTGGACTTGCCCGCGCCCCGGGCGGGCCCCTCGCAGTCCGCCGCCCCGAGGGCCGCGCCCCGGGGCTCCGTGCCGCTAGCGGCCGCCGAGGGCGAAGGCGAGGGCAGCGGTCGCAGCCTGATGCTCCTCCGGCTGGGGTCCTGGCGGCCCCCAGCTACTTCCTCCTCGGCGTCCTCTTCCTCGTCCATGATCCACGCCTTGGCCCCCACCTGCTGCGGGAGGCTGTAGAGCCGTTTGCGCATGGACGGCGGCAGCTTGTCCATAGTTCCAGGGGCCGGGCCGGCTCTGGCACCGGGGCGAGGGTGCCGGACCGCCGACCAGCTCCAGGTCCGCCTGCCCGTCAGTCCGCCGGCGGGGACGCGTCCTTCGTCGCCGTGTGGGGCCGCTTCAAGCACCCATGCTCGGGCTGGCGGCGCGCGGCGGGGAGGCTCCCAGTCCGGCTCCGGGTCCCTGACTCGCCGCGCTGCGCCCCCTCCTGGGCCAGGATGGGCGCAGGGACCCCGCGCTCCCCCCTCCCGCGTTCAGGGGCGCGGCGCGCGGCCCGGCTCCAGGCGCCCCGCCCCCGCGGGGAACAATGAGCGCTGGGCAGGAGCGGCTCTGTGGCCGCGGCGCTCCGGGAGCCGCTCCAGAGCGCAGAGCGCACGGCCCGCGCACCTCGGAGCGCGTGTCCTGCGAGTCAGCCGGCTGTCAGTCTGTCCTGCTGACGGGACTTTGTGGCTGGCCGCCCGCGAGCTTGCTTGCCTCCTCTGGGGGAACCCGGTCGGGCAGTCCCGGGGTTCCCACCGCAGCCGAGCAAAGCCTAGCGACCCGCGGGGTTTACATCAGCGGCCGCCACCCCCCACCCCAGAGCGCCCTCCGGCAGCGCTCGGGCTCCCGCGCCCCGGAATATTCATGAAGCCGCCGCAGCTCGCGGGTTGCCATAGGAGCCACTCCCGCAGCCGGGCCTGCCTACCTGGGCTTCTTAAAGGGGCAGTCGCGCCAGGGGCCGGGAGGGGCACGAGGGGCGGGCCCAGTGGGGGTCGAGGGCGGACTGTTCCTGAGCAACTGGGACTAGAGGCGTCCTTACTTCTGTCCCGACAAATATCTTTCCTTGACCAAGGGCTGGGTGCGCACTCGAAGATTAGTGTTCTGGCTTCTTTGGATGCCCCACCTCAGGATTGGGGGGCGGGGTCCTCGATCTGTCCTCCCATAGCTAGGCTATCTTATTCCCGGAGGATTTCCTCTTCAGTTGTCTCTGACCCTCCCCGCCCAAGGCTTGCGGGTCGTCTGCCAACGGAGCCCCAGGTTTTCCCGCGCCCCGCTTGGAGAGGGGGTTTCCGGGAAATACTCTGAGTTGGGGACGTTCACAGGGGTTTCCAGTGACAAAGGCAGGGAGCGAACCGCCGCCAGTCTTTCCCTTGAGGAGCCTAAC